GAATCATATTCCCTAAATTTAGAATACAATATTCAAGGATCCACTCGAACCAAACCAAATCAGATTTGAACCAAGAACAAAGGGAAGGGTTATACTTGATACAGAGAATCAAGATCTCCCAACATCAGTGTTTACACCCAAAGAAATTTCCAAGATCCGCTCCCRCTGATGATGACACAGCGACGGTGGAGCAGAACAACAGTGTTGGTCCTACGAACCAAACTCTTCACAAGAATCCATTGGAGGCTTAGAGCACTGAACCAAATCAGTCTTTCAATAAAGACTGATATCAAGAACCGATTTCTTGATCGTCCCTTCAGAGAGATTCGAACTATGCAGTAAGGTGGCGGCGGCTGGAGGAGAACCCTAGAGCTGAAAGTGGTGTGAATGCTAATTTCACTGTAGGGAAGGTGAGATCCTATCTCAGATTTCAGAAGTAGTTACTGCTTCTAACCCTGGTTCGAATTCTTGTAATTCTTTTTTTTAGGGTTTTCTCCTTTCTTAGTGATTAAGAAACCTTCTAATCCTATTAGGAGTTATCCCAATCCAAATCTGTATTTGGATAGGGGATAATCTCAATCTTATCTGCAGATTGGGTTAGCCTACTCCTGATCTCATCAGGAGGTTACCAGATTGAAATCATATTTGAATTTGGTTTCCAAGAGCGGATAGGGTTAAAACCCTAATCCTTTTAGCTAACCCTAATCTCAGATCCACCCCCTTAAATGGGTGATCATATCATCCCAGTTCGAAATTGGCTTTAGACCCAATAAGTAATCAGTGCTCAATAAGTTTTCAAACTGCTGCCCAGTTGGGTTTCTTTGTATAGCGTGGGACCCAAGCATTGATCTACACATCAGCCACATGGGTTCAGCCCAACCTCTGTTACAAGGCCTAGCTGAATTCACTGGAAAGCCCAGTGAACCCCTTGAGGCCATCACATGGACTCTATGGACCCAACACTTACACTAAGTAGTCCTTGGGCCAATCCATCCTATAAAAACCTAGGGACAGTGGGCAGATGCAAGATTAGCCCATCAGATATAACCGTAAATGGCCTTACACTTAACCTCTCAGCCCATAATTATCAAACACTACCCGACAAGAGAGGACCTCTCCCTCGGCTACAAGGAACAGTGCTGCACTCTCTACTCACATGGATCCCGGGAATTAAAACCATTTTCAAACATTTTGAAACCGTATATGTATGTATATATCATATATATAAAATTTCCGGTTCAGGGTTTCAAGAAAACCCACACTGCATGTACCTCAGGTCTCACCCTGGCAGCTGAGACAAGCTACCCCAAYCAACTTGGCGGCACATCAGTGTCACCCTTGACAGGATAAATCTCCCCAGATCTATCAAACGGCTGTGAAGATTCTAAACTAACACGAGTCTCATGTGTGTCTAGTTTAAGGGTACTACACAGAAACACACCATAATAACATGAATCAAATATGTACTTTATTCATTTACAATAAATGTCATAATGTACATCATTCTGATTGGAGCTAAGGGCATACACTGTATAACATTAGCTTCCACCCATTTCGAGACCTAATCAACAACAAGCAAAATATAAACATAACCGAAATATACGGGGAAAGGTCCCATGAAATCGATGCCCCAAACATAAAAAATTTTGCAAAATATTTTGGGGGTTTGTAGCATCTCAGTCCTTTTGGATATATTACCTGTCTTTTGACAATGATCGCATGAAATCGATCATACATTGTATAACATTAGCTTCCACCCTTTTCAAGACCTAATCAACATCAAGCAAAATATAAACATAACCGAAATGGAAAGGTCCCATGAAATCGATGTCCCAAACATAAAAAATTTTGCAAAATATTATGGGGGTTTGTGGCATCTCATTCCTTTTGGATATATTACCTATCTTTTGACAATGATCGCATGACTTATAAAAAGAATATGAATCTCGGAATAAACATGGCCAATAGAAACCACATTCTAGCACTTTTCTCGCTGTCCTCTTGGCTCCAAAGTGACATCCACAAAGCATAAGAATGACAAAAGGTTAGAATAGAAATAATTTCATTTTCAGGAATGCACCTTCTTATCACTTGATCTGCACAATGCTTCCATAAGTATGGATCATCCCACACATAGTATTTGGCATCACTCTTGATCTTATCTCTTTGAGCCTTAGACAACCCAGGCGGTAACATATTAGTAACCAAATAATTTACAATATTCTTATACCAGGGTAATGTCACACTTGCGGAGAACAATTGCTCGTCAAGGAACGTTTCCTATAGTGGAAGTTCATCCTCCATATGAACCAAACGATTCAAATGATCTGTGACACGATTTTCTGCCCCTCTTTTGTCTTGATCTCCAAATCAAATTCACTCAAGAGAAGTATCCTTCTTATTAATCTTGGTTTTGCCTCTTTCTTCATCATCAGATAATGAAGAGCTGAATGATCAGAGTAAACAATGACTTTAGTACCAAGCAAATAAGATCAAAATGTTTCTAARGCAAAAACAACAGTTAAAAGTACTTTTTCAGTAGTGGAGTAATTTCTCTGGGCATCATTCAAAGTCCTCGAAGCATAATAAATAGCATGAGATGCTTTTCCAATTCTTTGGCCCAAAATAGTGCCTACTACATAATCACTTGCGTCACACATTATTTCGAAAGGAATGTTCCAGTTAGGAGGTTGGATAACTGGGGTAGAGGTCAATAGTTCCTTCAGCTTATCAAATACCTTTTGACATGCCTCATCAAACTCAAAAGCCACATCCTTTTCTAGCAACTTGCATAGGGGTAATGCTATTTTGGAGAAGTTCTTGATGAATCTTCGGTAAAAACCTGCAAGTCCAAGAAAAGAACGAACTTCCCGCACACTAGTGGGATAAGGTAAAGATTGAATAATATCAACTTTAGCTTTATCTACCTCAAGTCCCCTAGATGAAACAACATGACCCAAGACTATACCTTGTTTAACCATAAAGTGACATTTTTCAGAATTTAACACAAGGTTAGTTTCTATGAATCTTTGAAGGATTAGTATAAGGTTATGCAAACAATTATCAAAGGAGTCTCCATAAACTATGAAATCATCCATAAAGACTTCTATGATATTCTCAATGTAATCTGAAAATATGCTAATCATACACCTTTGGAAAGTGGCTCGGGCATTGCAGAGGCCAAAGGGCATGCGACGATATGCAAAAGTCCCGAATGGGCATGTAAAAGTCATCTTTTCTTGATCCAACAGAGCAATTGCAATATGAAAATAACCTGAATAGCCATCAAGAAAATAATAGTAAGAATGACCAGCTAACCTTTTAAGAATTTGATCAATAAAAGGTAAAGGGAAATGGTCCTTGCGGGTTACAACATTTAATTTTCTGTAATCTATACAAACCCGCCACCCATTCTGAACACGGGTAGGAACTAACTCATCATTATGATTTTTCACAACAGTTTTTCCAGTCTTTTTAGGAACCACTTGAATTGGGCTAACCCAATTGCTATCTGAAATAGGATAAATCACTCTAAGTTCAAGAAGTTTGAGGATCTCCTTCTTCACTACATCCATCATGGGTGTGTTTAACCTTCTTTGTGGTTGATGGGAAGGCTTTGCTCCCTCTTCAAGTAAGATGTGGTGCATGCATGTAACTTCCTTCCGTCTCCAAGGAACACGTACTTGAGGTGACTAGGGAGAGGCTTCAAATTTGGAATAGGGGCCTGCAAAACAGAGGATAAAGGTCTCCTGTTAGAAATTGGTAACGTAATATAGGGAACGTTACCTGACTATTATAACTTCAGAAAATCATTCAACGCTGCAACAGTTTCCTACAAATCAGTACTCAAGATTAACTCCTCCTTCTCAAGATGCTTGTTAATGGAAATTTCCAATCCATCCATCTTTCCCATCAAGTTCAAAAACTTCTTGTGCTAGAGAATCAATCACATCAATAGAATAAATAGGATTATCATCACTAGGATATTTCATGGCATCATAAATATTAAACTTAACAATTTCACCATCAAATTCCATGGTGAGTGTGCCACTATGAACATCTATCTTAGTCTTGGATGTCTTAAAGAATGGTCTTCCTAACAAAATAGGAGTATTTGGATCACCATTATCCATATCAAGCACGTAGAAATCAGTAGGGAAGGCCAAATCATTAACTTGCACAAGAACATCCTCAGCTACACCCTTAGGATAGGCATTATATCTATTAGCCAATTGAATCACAACACCAGTTTTATTCAAAGGTCCAAGTTTCAAAGAAGCATATATAGAATATGGCATGACATTGATAGAAGCTCCTAAATCTAACATGGCCTTCTCAATTCTAGTGTTACCTATCGTACAAGGGATAGTAAACATACCTGGATCTTTACACTTCGTAGGGAGTTTTCTTTGAATAACTACAGAAACATTCTCCCCTACTCTCACCTTCTCACATCCTTCAAGTTTCAGTTTCCTCTTAATTGTACACAGTTCTTTCAGGAATTTAGCATAACGAGGTATTTGTTTAATAGCATCTAAAAGTGGAATATTTACCTCGTATCTACGAGAAGTCTCATATAAATCTTTATTTTTCTCATCTTTTCTAGATTCTACTAAAGCCTGAGGAAAAGGAGGTACTGGTTTATAATCAAAAAGAGGTGGAAACTTACGCTTAGGTACGCCATCGTCATTGGGAACGTTCCTGTCTGTAACGACGTTTTTCTTCTTTTCTTGCTTCGACGATGTAGGGGGTGCCTTTACTGGAATCTCAACCTCTTTACCACTTCTCAAAACGATTGCACTTGCATTTTTTCTTGGATTTACTACCGTTTGAGAGGGTAATTTCCCCAAACTTTGCACCTCTAGCCGACTAATTGCGGTTGCCATCTGGCTCATCTGATTGTCCAAACATTGAATACTGGCCCTCACCTCTTGTTGAAATTGTTTCATCTCTTGTTGAAATTGCAAAGTATTAGTGGCAAGAGACTTAACAATATATTCTAAAGACATACCAGAATTAGAAGTTCAGCCCGATTGTTGTCTAGGGGGGTATGGCTGCTGATATTGCTGGAAACTTGGGTGGTTTTGAGTCGTGGGTTGATTTATTTGTGGATTCCCATAGCTAAGATTGGGGTGATCCCTCCATCCTGGGTTATACGTGCTTGAATAGGGATCATACTTCCTTTGCGGTTGTCCAGGAAAACCACCTGCCGCATTCACCTGCTCAATGGCCTCCTCTTGAAGAGTTGGGCACATATCGGTTGGATGTCCTACTACCGAAGAGTAAGAGACCCACATTTATTATGGAAAGACATTTGAGAGATTACTAATCATAACCGCCATGCGCCATCATCCACTAGCTTCCCTGATCTCCATCAATAGCAGAATCGGATGTGACATCGAATCACTCACCATCAATTAACACCACGCATCGAGCGAGAATTCCTGCACCACCAAACAGGGGGGCTTCGCCCTGCTAAAACAACAGTAAAACCATCTCTTTCCAACTCCCTTTTCCATCGTTAGTGGTCAAGGGGGCTTGGCACTTACATGGGTATAGTGCAAAAATGCCCAAGTGCCCCTAACTAACACCTTTTTGCCAATGGCCAGGGGGGCTGAAATTCGTAAACTCTACTCAAGTTTGCTCATCGGCAAAAAGGGATATCTTGTTGTTAAAAACAAGTTTCCTATCGTCCTTTGATAATTCCTTTCCTATCAATGGTCAAGGGTCTTGAAGCACGCACGCGAAGCATGGCATCAACCATTGATAGAAAATAAATCATCGAAAGATGGGGGGGGGCTAAAGCATGGAATGTAGGAAACCCCTTTGATGATTAGATACCTGATATATGTCCAAGATTATGAACACACAAAACATTAATAAGCAAGGAGGGCTGACAAAACCGTGAAATAAGAACAAATCCCCCGACCCAAATCACACAAACAAATCCACCATAGGACATAAAAGCAAATGAGAAAGCAAAATGCTTATCGATAAGCTCCCACTTACCGATAAGTAGGGGGGCTAATGTAGGTACATAGTGCTCACCTAATCCCTTAGAGCACAATAGATACTGAATTTGTACCACAAGGATGCTTGCGATTAATCCATAATCAGTCTTGCCTCGCAATAAATCTGCAATGAACCCACTCCCAACATAAATGCATAGCAAATACAAATCAAACTAGGGAAAGAGACCATGCACACTGGGTCTGATGACAAACTCTGGACCGTTATGGGGCCACGGTTCATCGAAACCAGGACTAGATATTTGTTGCACATGAGGCTTTTTTTGATCACCGGTGTGACCAGGAACCACGTAGGATCATTAAAAGATTTACTCATTAGGCGATGACATCATTAAGACCACATCAGATAAGTGAGACACGAAAGGCAGTAATACACGTGGGTTATGAGGATCTCTAGGAGAAAGGAAAGATAATCTTCGGGAGATCCCATAAAGACACATGGCGAAACCCTAGCAACATCCTGATGGGATGAGAGATCCATCGTATGGATGCCCAAATCTTGCGGAATAAAGGGGCGAATTTCAAAAATTTTTCTCTTCCAATCAACTGGGAATCGCATTCCCTATTTAGAAAATCATATTTTCAAGGATCAATCTTGAACCATAAACTGAACCAGATCAGAACCAAAAGTAATAGGAGAATATTATACCTGATACGGAGAAGTAATATCTCCCAACGAAGGTGTTCACGTCCAAGGAAGGATCCAAAAACTGCTCCCACTGAAGATGGCGCAGTGCAGGATGGAGCAGAATTAGTAGTATTCTTCTCCAAGAATTCTGTCCTTCGCAAGAAACAGCAGGATGGCACGTGAGCACAACTTCCTATCAATTCTTTCTCAAAGAACTGATGTCAAGATCAAATCTTGACTTCTCCCACAACTGGAGATCGAACTGGCAAACAGGGCGGCAAGAACAAGGAGGCGGCAAGAAAGAATTCTGTAGGGTTGC